TTTTATATATAGTATAGATAGATAGATAGATATAGTATAGATTTAAAAAGTTCCAACATAGATCCAATATGGATCCGCCATTTATCATATAAAAAGTTGAAATCGAGCGTACGTACGTGATCTGATTTTAGATAGGTAATCAGACACCTTAAGAACCCTTGATTGTTAAGTTTTAAGCGAATCTAATCTGATTAATTTTTATTTGCCACTATATTGTTTCCACTATTTAGAATTTTTCCAACCTCAAATCAGATTCCTAATAAGCGCCCAAGAAGCCCAGAGGAAAACGTTTCAATCGGGTCTATTCGATTTTAATTTTTTGGCCGCCATATTGGATTCGCCTTTATGAATTTTTAAAATCTTGCTCTTGGTTCGTAATCAGCATAAGAACGTGCTGTTACCTTTTTTTGTTGGTGTTGGGTTCTCCGGGTGGAAAAATGTTGTAAAGCAAAACCTAATTTACGGTTAGCTTAGAGACCATGTTAAATTTTTCAAAAGGCCACTCTGCTTTCAATGTAGGGCGTCTATGCGACATTTAAGACCTTAATCTTTGTAACCCATCCTATAGAATTTTAGTCATCGTACCGTACCGGTTGACATGATGTGGAAATTAATTTTACGCCGCTTCCCTTACATCGCTTTGCTTGGCACGTTCCCGGTCGTGATCAATGCGTCGTACAAAAAATATATTCGTACAAAAGTTTTGGGGAATGGAATTCTCTACAATTTAGGTATTTGAATATGCCTCGTATGGCATTCGGAAATGAATAAACAAATGTTTTTTACTATCATTTTACTATGTATGTATATACTGAGTTGGGCTTTTTTGCGTTTTGCAAGTAAAGTCGCCCTTTTCAGGGATCCAGTGTAAGAAAAAATTCATTTGTTTGGAGTTTGTTTGTCACTCCAATAAAAGAACCAACACTGAAAACACTTTTTAAACAGGTACATAGATAACAAAGTGGTACACTAAATATTTGTAAAATTGTTTGCCGTGAATTGGTTAATCTACGTGAGTTTGCCTTCTTTTCCTAAGGTTTTTGGTACATATAGTATGATTTTAAAGCCGCCTTTAATTTCTCTTAGAAAATGGGATCATCTTACCTATTGTGCATTAGGATAAAAAGCGAAAAATAAGTTCGCGTTTCAGCGCTCCTCGCACCTTCTTCAGATGTCTGTATTTTTTTAAACAATAAATACAACATAAACATTAATAACATACTATTGTTGCAGAAAACAAACTAGTTAAAACAATTTTTAAATGTACCAATTTTCTATACATGAACCAAAATGTAGAAAATAATTTTCCTACTCCCATAAAATTTGTCTTGATATGTTTTGATTTTAAAATTTTAGGAAGTCATTATAAACAATTTATGAAATTTAAAATGCAAAACGTGGGTCGCATTTGATTAAGCTGTTAGGCATCTGTATTCGCGGATGTCTAAAATTCCACATTCGCAATATCCCTAGTATGTAGTAGTTGTATGCATACTTTTAAGTTTTTAAAGTTAATTTTATATTACACAAAAACGCTCTGTTTGCAGTTATTAACATTCGAATATTTAATTAATAATAAGTGGCAAACCTGACAATAAGTTGTACTTTCGGGATCAACATCCACAGTTGACAGATAGTCCCCATGAGGGTCTTCTAAATTTGGTTGCACTGTGACCGTGTACAATAACTTCTCGCGAGGTCCATTTCGCATTGCTTCAATAGGACTCCTATAACCTGGTCCATGGCAACAAACTGGAATTAAAAGAAATTGAAACTGTCAGTAACTACTTATATTATAATATAAGGTCTTATAATAAATATAATGCGTTTTTTTAAGTTAAGTTTCTTATAATAAATATAATGAGTTTTTTAGGTTTTTTTTCAGATTTTGGTTGGTGAATGCTTCCTTCCCCATATCATTAGCAGGGTTGGGCACTATTGCACTACCACTGAGTTGTACTACCACTGTAAAATGCAGAAGTCATTAGCACTGAAAATTTAGTGATAGTGAAACAAATTTGCACTGTCACTGAAGGTTTAGTGATAGTGAAAAGCAAATTGCGCTACCACTTAATATTTAGTGAAACTAGCCAAGCAAAGATAGCCAATTTACATAGGCAAGTGGAAAACGCTAATCCTAAGTTATGTTATTTGTACCTCCAACTCCAAACAGGTGTAACAAGTGTAACGCTATTACACTTAGTAGCATTAAGCATTACATATCGTTGTTGATAGTTAAAAAGGGTAGAAGCAATGCAGTGCAATATTAACTTAAGCACGCATACTTTCAATAAAGAAGAATATGCTAAAGTAATGTATACTATCGCAGAAGAGAACAAAATATGTGTTTGCTTACTACGTTTAGCTTCCGAAAACTTGAAATTTCTTAGGGCCCATCTACATAGAACTTGGTTTGACAGCACGCGCTTTAAAAGTATGCTTGCTACAATGAGCGCTTGGCAGCGAAAGCTTTTATCACTAAATAAACATACTAAAGACTTATAAAAACGATATTTCCTGCCCGCATTTGAATAACTAATAAATAAAATAAAAATAAAAACTTTTTAATATACAA